AGGAGACTGCTAAGAGTATCGTGAGAGGAGAAGAAATCAAATGAGGTAGTGCTTGATGAAGCCCACGTGGGACGCTCAATGTTAAAAACAATCCGGAAACGACAAATGCAGTTTTGGGACACCTGAATAGATATAACGGTCTTGAACATCTAGCCCTCACTGGCAAAATTGAAGTCAGGGGTAGGCCCAGAACAAATGGGTAACAGGGAAAGATCAGGGAAACATAGCTTTTCTTAGAGCATCTGAGCAAAGGAATGAATGTAGAACCATGATCGACGATGTCTGTCGTAGATCTGGCACTGGATGATGATGATGATGATGATGTGTGTTGTTGCAGTAGGCCATGCTAATCTCATAGTCTCCCACGCAGCCAAGTCTCCCACACAGCTAGGGGAGTGGTGAGAGGAGAGAGAGGGACAGAGAGAGGGAGAGAAAGAGAGAGAGAGGGAGAGAGAGAGAGAGCGAGAAAGAGAGGGAGAGAGGGAGAGAGGGAGAGAGAAAGGAAGAAACTGACACACACCCACACAGCTGGTTGGGGGAGGGGTGAGGAGGAATTAATTCTACTTCTTGATACTCGTAGTATTCTGATGGTGTACGCTGTCGAGATCACCGAAATACTTTTTTTTACGTGATAATTAGATAGTTGTAAGATTTTAATGGATGATAATAAAAATAACCGATTGTAATTTATAGACCCAGAGGTCAGTGAACTCCCCAAAAGAGGGTCCTCAAGAAGCTATAGATAAACCCAGAGGTCAGCGAACTCACCAGAAGAGCGTGCCCATGCGGGCGGAAGTGAGCAGCTCCAGGAGCCTGTCGTCTGCCGCCTTGGCCTTATCCATGGCCACCACGTAGTTGTTCCAGGCCTTCAGGAAGTCGCTGCTGCCCAAGAAGGCGTTGCCTAGACAAAGAGACAGGCGACCCTTGAGTGGGGACTTGTCCGTGCCACACTGCTGGGCGTTCCGGCAGTAGGAGATGGCTTTGCTGAACTCGCACGATTTCTCGTTACACACTGCGATGTTGTAGTAGGCCTCCGACTTGAGCATGACGTCACTGAGACCGTTAGCGATCTCACACTGCTGGCCGGCGTACGTGAGCGCGTCTCGGTATTTGCCTACGTCACACAGAGACGTGCAGATTTTTCCACACACCTTGAATTTCTCCACGGGCTGGGCGAGATGTTTGAGAGCCCTCAGCCAAGCCTGTGTAGCTTCGTCAAACCGCTGCTCGTTATACAAGCCTTGGGCCTTCTCCATCTCCTTCTTCGCCATTTTCTGACCCATGCTGTTAGCTTCCCACCCACAGCCGCCCTCAAAAAACGGACAGCTGGCTATTTCCTATTGAAAACAGGAATGGGTTTGCGTCCAGTCCTCTGTAAGTTTAATCAGGTCATTGCGAAACAGAGACAGAGTCAGATACACTGCCTTAATAATCCTACAAGGTCACCGTACAACAATGTCACCATATATCATCACCACACAATACCACACACTATATTATCACACAATAACTCACGCAATACCACACACAATATCACCACAAAATATCACCACAAAAAAAGCTGTGTGGACAATTATTTCGCCACGGAAAAAAACGCCGCGCAATTGGAATTTCAAGACGTGGCAAAATAGGAAAAAGAGTAAGAGGATATCCGCTGTAGATCAGTCCCTGGCCTCAGCCACCTGCGCAGTGTGTGACATGCCGGATCTCCGGCCTGTGGACACAAACAGCAAAATCTCCGCCACATTTAGCGGGTCTGGGGCTTGGATAACCTAACTCGTGACGTGAGCGACGAGTACGTTTGTCCTTCACTTGGTCGCGTGAGTCTCATGTTTTGGCTTTTACTCGTCTTGCAAAGAATTTTGAATGTCCCATGACCTGAGCTTCTGGTTGTCTTACAACGTGTTTTGAATGTCCCATGGGCGCAGAGATTTCTAGTTAGGGCCAGTATTTATTGCGATGATTTGACGTTCGCAGACGTAGTTGTTTCATATGATGGTGTTGCGTTTTTTTATGTCAGCAAACTTGTGGTATTGTTTTAATAGGGGATGTTACGTCGTTTTTTAATGTTTGCAGACTTGTGTGATTATTTCTTGAGGTGATGCTGCGTTGTGTTCGATCCTCGTCGACTTGCGGCTGTTTCATGGGGTGTGGTGTAGCTGAGTGCTGGTACACCTTCGAGAGGGGAAGCTTCCTCACGACTCAGCACATCTAGATGTGTAGTGTGGGACAGTTAGCAGAGGTTTACGCACGTACGGTAGCTGTGTAGAGTGTCAGAGGTTTTCACACGTAGGAGTGTGATGCGTAGAGTGGCAGAGGTTTACACACGTAGGTGTGTAGTGTGGGACGAAAAGGTGTGTGCTCACTCCCCGCAGATGACCTTGACACAGTGGACACCTGTGGATGAATAGACAAGGTAGTGTGGGTCAGTCAGCTGGTTTAGTAAGTGTTTTACGGCACTTGCATCACAAAAAGGTAATTAAAGTACCGAAAATTAGAGGTGTTAGTAGAGAATAACATTCAAAGAAAGGAAAGAAGAGAGATAAGGACGACAGATGTTTGATGGGAAATAAGGAGCAAACTACACCCGCCAGCCACCCACAGATGATTATGTAGATCAGCACTAATGCTCTGTTACTTTTTTAAAAATCTGTTTGGGCCCACAAGCATTAATTACTTTTTTTTTCTTTATATAACGGTGAGAACAAAATTAGAAACGCCATCGAAACCTCTTTGAAAACCCCATGACCTCAGGGAAAAGACCCAAACTGGAGTGGTACAGGCACGTGATGACGTAACACGATCATCGGGGCTGGCCGAGACTATCTTACAGGGAACAGCTAGCACAAGGAGACAGACGAAGATGCAGACTGAGGAAACAATGGGGAGACAACATCAAAGAGAGGACTGGCCGTAACTGGAACATCACACTACAGAAAGCTCTGCCTTGAGGAGTGGTAGAGGTTGATTGTATAATCTACAGCAGTTAGGCGCCTCGCTGTCGCACGCAGGAGACCCGAGTTTGATTCCCGAGTGGGAAGAATGTATATTGAGTGTCTCGGTCTTTCTGTTGGGATATATGCACACCAGCCTAGATTGGCCCTGTCAAGCATGGTCGAAATCCGCCTTTCCTTAAATGATCTAAATTGTGTTGATGGGAGCGTAACATCATATACATTAAAAACAATTATTCTGCCAAGCTGCAACCCGATTCTGTATATCCAAGCAACTTCCCTAAGCGAGTATAGGCTATCGGAACCGTACCCGTGAGATTGCGGGTTCCGGGGTTCGAGCTTCAGGTCGGTCCATGGTTCTGTCATTGGAAAAAAGCACTTTACACGAATATCCCATTCAGCTCGATCTTTTCGGAGATGGACGTTGAACTCGGAGGTCCCGCCTCTTAAATAACCTAATAGAGTTGATAGGGTCGTTAAACCTATACTATTTCACTATTTTAAAGCAAACATGGAGAGAGGGTTCTTTCTTATACAACAGAGGATTAAACCAATATCTTGACCCTCCCCCC